GTCAGAGACTCTAGAGTTGTTTGCCTGTACAATTTATTGGTCCTCAGAGAGAATATTCCCATGTTATCATCAGAGCCAACTTCCCTAAAATATCTCATTCCCCAGACTCCAACATACAAACTCTAAGTAAAATCTTTAGGGGTGCTTATCTCTATATGTGGGACACAGATTAATTAGTATCTTGGGTAATATTCCCCAGAAGAGATCCAAGATGTGTCATTTGGGTAAATCCCTGATGCCATCTACCCAATGTCTATTCATCTTAGCTGACATCATAGGTCCTCCAGGATGGGAACATTTCATTTCTCATAGATGGTGTTCCTTTCTTTGTGACTGGCTCATGTCAGGTCAAGTCTGTCTTGATTACTGTTGAGGAAACGGTTGTCAGTCAGGAAGGGGATCCCTACTTGTAAACTAAATATATAGATTTTTGTTACATAGAGATTTAATTTGAAACAATGGAGAAGGTTAACCAAGATCCATGGGACAGCAGGAATTAGGGATCAGATTTTCTTTTGACTTTGGAAACTTTGATGATCAAGCTGATATTATGTTTAGCATCTTAATAAAGAGATATTAATGAGAAGCCCCATGGCTAAACTTAGAAATTGGGGTGGAAAGGTGGTGGAGTTGTATATTTAAATCCAGAGGCAACATCTGGAGGCTTCCAAGACTTAGTAGGGGTGAAAGCGGGTCAGACATAGAATTTGCATCGTTGTGGGCTGAGAGTGCGTGTTCTGAGCAGGGATTGTGAAAAATCTCGTGGAGTCACATGTCCTGTTGCTTCCGTGAAGCTGTGACTCAGGAAATTGGTGCATTGATGACTGTGTTGCATTAGCATTTCTATTCCACTCCAACAGCAAATGGAAATTCCCAGGGTTGGAAAAGGAAGTCTGATGAACTTGGCATGATCAATAGGCAATGTGCATGCCTGTGGGGACACTCCTTCCCTTTTTGTCTCTCTTCTGTGCTTCTTCTGCCCACCAGGACCCGCTGAAGAAATTCCAGGTAAGAACGCTGGGGCTTGAAGCATCCTGGAAAGCTTTGTCAGAAGGTAGTTAGCTGTCAGCTTATGCTTTAAGTCAAAGGTGACATTTGGTCAGGATACGAAGAAGGCTTCCGGAGAAGAAAGAGAGAAGGTGGATTACAAGTAGGGAGAGAAAATTATTCAGAAAGGTTCCTAAGGTAGGAGGAGAGACAAGAGGCAGATGATGAAACACCTCTCCTATGGAGATTTATAGGTGAAGGAAGGGATGGAGGACTGTCTGTATGAACTGATTCAAAAGATTGTGTGTCAATATCATGACTGTGTTGGACCAATCAGGATAAATGTTGGGAAGGTGGATTTCATTTCTTCTTCTCCTCCTCTTCTTCCTCCTCTTCCTCTTCCTTCTCCTTCCTTCCTTCCTTCCTTCCTTCCTTCCTTCCTTCCTTCCTTCCTTCCTTCCTTCCTTC